CACTGCCGTGTAGTGAAGTACAGTATCCTGTATTGAAGTGTGGGAAAATACACTGCCGTGTAGAGCAGTACTGTATCATGTATTAAAGAGTAGGTAACTGCACTGCCGTGTAGTGCAGTACAGTTTCATGTAATAATGTGTAGGCAACTGCACTGCCGTGTAGTGAAGTACAGTATCATGTATTGAAGTGTCGGTAACTGCACTGCAGTGTAAGGCAGTGCAGTATCATGTAATGAAGTGTGGGTAAATACACTGCCGTGTAGTGCAGTACAGAATCATGTATTAAAGAGTAGGTAACTGCACTGCCGTGTAGTGCAGTACAGTATCATGTATTGAAGTGTAGGTAAGTGCATTGCCGTATAGTGAAGTACAGTATCATGCATTGAAGTGTAGGTAACTGCACTGCCGTGTAGCGCAGTACAGTATCATGTATTGAAGTGTAGGTAACTACACTGCCGTGTAGTGCAGTACAGTATCATGTATTGAAGTGTAGGTAAGTGTACAGCCGTGTAACGCAGTACAGAATCATGTAATGAAGTGTAGGAAAGTGCACTGCCATATAGTGCATCACAGTATCATGTATTGAAGTGTAGGTCACTGCACTGTCGTTTTGTGCAGTAAAGTATCATGTATTGAAGTGTAGGTAAGTGCACTGCCGTATAGTGCAGCACAGTGTCATGTATTGAAGTGTAGATAACTGCACTGCCGTGTAGTGCAGTACAGTATCATGTATTGAAGTGTAGGTCAATACACTGCCATGTAGTGAAGTACAGTATCATGTATTAAAGTGTGGGAAAATACACTGCCGTGTTGTGCAGTACAGTATCAGGTATTGAAGTGTGGGTAAGTGTACTGCCGTGTAGAGCAGTACAGAATCATGCAATGAAGTGTAGATAAATGCACTGCCGTGTAGTGCAGTACAGTATCATGTATTGAAGTGTAGGTAAGTGCATTGCCGTATAGTGAAGTACAGTATCATGTATTGAAGTGTCCGTAACTGCACTGCAGTGTAAGGCAGTACAGTATCATGTAATGAAGTGTGGGTAAATACACTGCCGTG